TTCTGGCCCCAGCTCTTCAGATTTGATAGGATTTTGGTGCATTATTAGACTGAGGATTTCTCTACCCAGCCCACCCTCCTAGAGTCCCCCACAAATTGACCTCACTGGGCCTGCTTTTATGAAAGGTTTATTCCTAGTGCTAGGTCCCAATCTTCCAGGGCTCTAAGCACAATTAAACTGGGTGGGTAGGTGAGGGGAGGCCCATTTAGATGCAGGGCCACAAATGAGTCTCCCCATTTTCCCCACCCCCTTGGTCCCAGTCCCTTTCTCTGCAATGGGCACGCATAGAGGAGGGACAAAGGGTACTGGAGGCAACATCATTGGCCCAGAGGAGCCCAAGAAGAGCTGCCATTGGCTGACAGGGCCTTTTGAGGCTCCGCCATTGGTCAGGGGGCACACCCCAGGAGTTGGGGATAGGCCTGAGGAGTGATGCCGTTGGCCAGGGAGTAGTTTTGTCATAGCCTTTGGCTGTGGAGTGGAAGGAAAAGATCTGGGAATGCAGCCCTGTGTCCAGGAAGATAAGGGACAGGGCAGCAGCTGCTGGGCCTTCAGGCCCCCTCCCTACCCACAGCAATGTGGGCAAAATTGGTGTCAGGCCCCAGCCAGGGAAAAGGAGCCCAAGCCAGAGGGCAGGTGGCAAGGGATAGCCCATGTCCGATCTCCCCCACCCTGGGACTGCCCCTCCCAGTGTCCTTCTTGATAGCCAGGTTGGGCTGGGAGCCGCTCACTGCTCCTCTAGCCAGGAGGGCTTCTCGGCTCCTGGAGGCCTCAGCTTGATGTTGAACTGCTGCAGGGTCTGCTCCAGTTGTTTCTGGTTCCCAGCAAAGTAGGCGGACACAGCATTGTGGAAGAGCAGCAGTTGCTTGTGCATCACCTTGATCTGGGGGTCCAGACGGTCAGCTGAGGCTAGACTCAGATGCCCTTCTCGAGGGGCTGAGCCTGAGCCCAGACCAGGGGTGCATGGACTCTCTGTGACGGTGCATTTGGGGTAGGGGCTGAACTCCACCAAAGGAGTCAAAGGAAAGGTCAATCTGATGGGAAAACCCTGACTTGATTTGCTGGGTCTGGGGTTCTGATTTCGGAAAAATCACTGCAACTCAGGGCATGATTTTTCTGTCCTGATCTTGGGACCAGCAGCTAATTCTTCAATAGAAAAGGGCCAGGGATTGGAAGGAGGGAGACCTGGAAAGGTTCAAGGGTTGAAGGGGCTAGGGGAAGATCCCCATTCTACTTAGTTAGGCTGCATTTTCCCATTCACTGATGGGGCAGGTCAGTGTTACAGATAGGGAAGTGGGCAGGGGTCCAAGGGGTGGGGTTTGCACCTTGTTTTCTTCCAGGAACTTGAGCTTGATGGCCACATCTCCCCGAAGCTTCTCATATTTGTCTCGATGGGCCTGGAAAGTGGCCTGGGCACTCTCCAGTCGACCACGCGTCCCTGCATCCCGGGGGCCTAGGCTCAGCTCCTCTAAGTCTGTTCGGTAGGCATCATATTCCAGCCTGGGGAGGGGTGATATAGGCTCATCTCCACCCCTTTGTCCTGCACACTCTCCTTTCCTTGTTTAATTCTTATGTCTCTAATCTAAAACTTCCACCCAAGCCAGCCAACTCCCAAGACCCTAGGCCCTGCCAGTGCCCACACCTGGCAGCCTCATACTGTTTGACAGTCATGAGTGTGTCTTCCATGGTCTTGGTGACCAAGGTGTTGATGCTAGAGACAAAGAAGTTCACAGCCCCTAGGAGTGTCTCTCCATTCTTGCACAGCAGCTTCTGTGTCTCTGCATTGTAGCCAAATTCCTCCTGCGGGCAGAAGGGAACAGGCCGTAAGCATGAGTCCCTACTTGACTGAAGCTGTAGGGCCCTTCATCCCCCTCTTCCCCAGGGAGAAAGCAGCCATCAAAACTGCAACAACCAAGGACTGCCTCCAGTAAGGCTCTAAGCCAGAAAGTTAGTGGGGCCACCCTGGGGACGCCTGGGGTGAGGGTGGGGTTCTCAGATAAGTTCACAGGACTAGATCAGAGAAAGCTAGTGCAGCAGGCAAGGGAGGGGCTCCAATTAGGCTGAGCATCAAAGGCATTCTCACCAATGCAGAGAAGGGTTACTTGTGAGGCACCTTGTGTGCCACCTCCCCCAACCCCTCCAACTTCTGGACCTCTGTACAAACCCTTAGGCTGCCTCCACAGGTGAGTGCTGCTGGGGGCAGGGCTGGGCCCACCCTGGAGGGGTTCTCCCTCTGGGCTGCAGGAGGGAGGGAGGGAGGCTGAGGGGTGACTGCCTGGGACAGCCTGGGCCCAGTCCCCCCACCCTATTTGGTCTGGCTAGGCACCTGAAGCTCTGGGGACTTCTGGCTCAGGTCAGCAAAGGCGTCACCTAGTGCATGCTGGGTCTGCAGCAGGCTGTAGAGGTGGGCTGTCAGTGCCCGGCCCAGCTGCAAGACACTCTCATACTTGCGCTTCGTCTCACGCAGCAACTCAATCTGCAGCTCTAGCTCCAGGTCCACAGTCCGGGAGCCTCGGCCAAATCGCTCTGATAACAGCTGCTTTGTGCACTGAGTGGGAAGTGGGGGAATAAGTCAGAAACCCTAGCACCCTGCCCCCACAACAAGTATGTACCCCAGCATACCCAGGCTCCTAGTCTCAGCCATAGATGGAATATTAAGATCTGGGAAAAGGAAAAAAGGTACCCAGTGGGAGTTTGGGGAAAGGGAGAAGTGCTTGAATCCCACCTTATATGTGTTGATGCCCCATTTCTTGACGATGTCAAACTTCTCTCCAGCGATGCCCCGAGCCACCTCATCTCCGGGGCCAGCAGGAGTGGCACTGTGAGATGGATGGCGGCCAGACCCTAAAGGACCAAGTTCTCTGACACCAGTCTCTCAGAAGTATGTCGTTCCACCCATACTTCCCTCCCAGCACCTGAAAATAACTTCCCTGAAGGAGCAGAAGCTAGAGACGATTAGATTCTCCTACTCACTAGGAGAAACTCATATCTTGTGCCCTGAGACCCAAATCCCAATATACTATGGCCTGCTTCTGAGGTGGTGGTGGGGATTCGAAGGGGAGGGAAGAGGGAGCAGCTGGCGTGTAGGGGCAGAGGAAACAGAAAGAAATATGCTGAGTGTGGGGTGGGAGGTCAAGGATGGTGGGTCCTGATAACAGAAAACCTGTTTGACATTCCCATGTGGAATTCTAGTCAGTGTGAGACTCAGGTCTGTTTATTCCTCTAAACTTCAGAGTTTAAAGTAAAACTCTGAGAAGTCTCATAAAGTTCCAAATCAGCATTAAGCTCCAGAGCAGGGGAAACGTCTATGGAACAGAGTTCTTAACTTGATTCAGGGGGTGGAGGCACAGAAAGGGTGCATCTCAGGGGAAATGGGAGCAGTTGGACAAGCCTGGGAACTGGCTTTGGGATGAGAAGAGTCCATAAGGTTCATACTAGTAGAGGTTTCCAAGACCTCCAGAGAAAATTCAAGCTTTCTTAGACATATCCTATGCTCCCCAGAACCATTCCTCTCCCCCTCTCCACTCAAGCTTCCTGTTCTGATCATTCATACCTGTGGGGATGAGTCCATCACCAGAGCCCCCATAGCCACCAGACACAATGCTGGTTTCATTGAGGTTGGGTCCTGACACCATCACCTGCTGGAGGTCCTATAGGCCAGAGAAGAGGGGGGCTTCAGGAACATAGGGGCAGCTGAAGCATTTTGGGAGTGAGAACAAGCTTGGATTGAAGCATCATAGAGAGAGCACACAAGGGACGTCTGCACAGAATCAGAACGAAGATTTGTAAAAACATTGAAGGGAGTTAGGTAAGTTAGGGAAGGCTATTGGAATAGAGTGGGAGGCCAGGATTTATAAGTTGGGATTCCCAAATTGAAACAAGAAGAAGAATCAAACAGAAGCACCTGCTCCAGCCCATCATCCTCAGGAAGCTGCCCAGCTTCGCCATTCCCATGGATGGGGATCTCCATTGTGGCCGCCTTCCCTAGGATCCCGTCCGTCATGGCTAGGAAAGGGACTGGAGTCGATGCCTCCACCCCCGTGCCCTGCAAAGCCCAACACAGACAGTGCTGGAAACTGGCCAAGGCCCTAGAAGAGAAAGGTCTCCCCCACCACTTCTGAGGTCTTAGAGGTTGTCCCAGGGCTTGAGTGTTCTGGAGTTTGACTACCACACCTTTCCTCAGGTAATACATGCCCCTCTTCCTCCCAAGGTGCATAGTTTCACACACCCAGGCCTCAGGAGTCCTCTCATGACCCTCCAACCCCACCAGGACTCCGGTGATCATTCATGCATTCAATCATTCAATAGACACTTACTGAGTACCTACTGTGTGCCATGCACTATTTGAAGCCATGGAAATACAGCAGTGAACAAGACAGATAAAGTCTGTATTCTCTTGGAGCTTATTCCCATGAAAGTGTTTCTCCCTATCAGGAGATGAACCCCTTTCCAGGGCTCATGTATATTATCACAGCTTGGCCTTTCACACCCCTGTAGTGCTTCTTTCCCTTTCTTTCAAGTGATCTTCCCCTCTTCCATCCCATGCACCTTCTTTTCCTCCAGACCTCCCCACCAGGCCTTAGTTTAATCAGTTTCTGTATATTCCTGACCTCTGGGAAAAGTCTCTTTTTCCCAGGACATAGGTGATCTCTTCCAAAATCAGTTCTCTCTCCCCCCAGGTGTGTTTCCCAGCTCCCCCAACCCTATACACCTGGGCATCAGGTGTGTCCTCATCATCCCCTGGGCTCAGAGATAACTTGCTTTCAGGACAGGTTCATGCATGCAATCTCCCCTTGACCAAGTATGCCTCTCTCACCTCTGGCTGGGCCACTCTTCCCCTCAGGGCGCCAGGCCCAGGCCGCACGGGGACCTCCGGCTCCAGTTCCCGTCGCGATCCTAGCAGCAGGTCAGGAAATCGGCGGAAGTGACGTCCTCTCACGGGCAGAAGAAGCCAGCCACGTCGCAGATTATAAGGGCGGAAGTGACATTAAAACTGGGGGCAGGGCAGTCCTTGAGCTAACGCCCTCAATCCCGGGGATCGCTGAGAGATTATTTCCGGGGCGTTACAAAAAAAAAAAAAATTGTCAAGGAAGTGAGGTCGGGCGTGTGCTTGTGGTCGGATGGAGCAGCAGCAGCAGGAGCAGCAGCAGCTAAGGAACGTGAGTACCTGCTAAAAGTGGTTTCGGGAACTTACATTTGGCTCGCATCCCCGTCTTCAAGGAAGGGACCCCGGAGATCCAGAGATCCCAGAGCTGGGGACATTGGGCTATGGTGCTCGGTCCTGGGAAACGTCTAAGCGTCGCGGCCTGGAATTGAGGTATGGCCTGCTCCCTTATTGCTGAGTTCTTGGTCCCCTTCTCCCCCAGTTGCGGGACTTCCTGTTGGTCTACAATCGGATGACAGAACTCTGCTTCCAGCGCTGCGTGCCCAGCCTGCACCACCGAGCTCTGGATGCTGAGGAGGTGGGGAACCGAGCAGGGAGTTAAAACTCTTCCTCCTCAGAGTTAACCGTAGACTGCTGTCCTCCTCCTCCCACTTCCCTTTCCTTTGGCTGAGGTCTTTCCATGACCCTCGCTCCTGGGCTGGGGATGGGAAGGAAGGAAACGGACCCGACGGGACATCTTTGGTCTCCCTTCCACCCTGTCTTCCTTCCAGGAGGCCTGTCTGCACAGCTGTGCTGGGAAGCTGATCCATTCCAACCACCGCCTCATGGCCGCTTATGTGCAGCTCATGCCTGCCCTGGTGCAGCGCCGCATCGCAGACTACGAGGCTGCCTCAGCAGTGCCAGGTGTTGCTGAACAGCCTGGAAACTCACCATCAGGCAGCTAGCCGTCCCCAGGACCCGGAAGGGAGGCACTGGATGGACCCTCACATTGAAGGAGCTCGTGGACCTGGGGCTGGGTGCAGCCTGTATATACAGAGTGAGGGGTTGCCTGAGAGCTGGGTATTGTTGCTCCTTTTCCTGGAGTAATAAACCCACTTTTATTCTGTTTGGTTTATGTTCTGGGCAGGGACGCTTTGCCCACTTTATTATGTCAGTGCATATCTGCTGGCTTCAACCCTAGCAACAGAGAAATTGCCTTCTTTGTGTAGAAGGAAAAGCCCAGCATTCATTCCTAGGCACCTGGTTAAAGCAAGGTCTGTGTGTACAGTTCTAAGGTTGGTGATAGCAACAGGAGGTGGTTTCTGGCCAGATGACAAGGACATGGGAGCTCTGTCTAGCTGCCATTAACTTAAATCTGTCTGACTTTAATGGCTCACTTGTGAGTAAGGTATGCATTCATTCATAACTTAGTGTGTGTGCGTGTGCATACTGTGTCTTAAAGAAGGAATCTGCCATATTTAGGGAAAGAAGATAGCTAAGGACAACAGATCCAGAAATCACAGGGTTTTTAGGGACTCCTTCCTTAAAAAGTCAGCAGCTCCAGAACAGATGAAATTTGTAGGAATTCCAGGGTGTCTTGAAACTAACCATTCCTCTAAGTTGTTACATTTTTACTATTTTCTGTCTTCCTGAATGATCAGTGAAACCTTTAAGCAAAGGTTCCCCTGCCTCGTAATTAATAATGATTCCAGATGGGCTAGGAACATATTTGAACTTCAAGAGCTTCTGTTTGCTTACTCATCTGTACCAAACCTGTCCTCAGGCATGGAAAGACAAATGTCCTTCAATCTGATTCATCAATTAGTCCCTTTCTTAAATTTCCAATTTCTGTCCTGGTTCTTTTCTCTTCATACTTAGAATGTTGGTCTTCCTATCTATCCATCTCCCATCTGCTGAAGTCTCCCTCAGGTCTTGTCATAAACCAGCAGCCATTGACTTAATGAGAGCATATGATGTTTCAATCACAATGAAAATACATGTTGACAAAACTATCCCTTTATCAGAGACATATTGGAGACAGGGTTAGTGTTTCTGCCATTGTGGCTTCATAAAATAACTGTCCACTTCTTTGCAAAGTCTAATTCCTTTGAGGCTATTCAAATATACCATCCTCTCATTATTTAGTAACTACCACTCTCATTACTTAGTAACTACCACTCTCCTACTTTCCTCTAAGTACCTAGCCCTTGGTCTTCCTGTCCACTCTGATACTTAATGTTTATTTGCACACTTCATTCAGTATTTTGGTCTCTTAGTTCTTTGACACAATCTCCAATGATTTCTACTTTCTTAGATACCCACTCCTATAGTTCTATCCTGGCCATTGTCTTCTCCCCAAACTGCTCTATAACCTTCAAAACACTACTACTTACATCTTATTCACTGATCATATTCCCTCCACTTTATTTAACAATTCCTCTGATATCATTTTTATTTCACTGGCAACAGTCAGGTTATTGCTTCTACCTTTTCTTTAGATTTCTATCCAGGTTAAAGTCTAGTGATTCTCTTGGAATAGGTTGCATTTCTTTACCTCTTATCTCTTGTCTCTTGGACACTTATGTAAAATGAAACATTTGTCTGTGCCTGCACTTGGACAGCCAAAGGCCACCTGAGGAAACAACTATAAAGCAGATTTATATCACTGTGAATTTGTGGTTAGCAATTTCAGATGGAGTCTGAGCCCCAAAATCCCACCGGATTTTTCCAGTCATCTCTCCTGCTTGGTGCAATGAGTATTTCAAACCAATATTCTCAAGCCTCTTATTGGCCCTCCCTCACCCCCATCACCATCATTCTCTTCACTTTCTGCAGGCTATTTATTTCTTCATAGACAAAAGTAGAAGCTGTCAGTTGAGAACTTACACAACAATCTGGTCACCACCTAATCCACATCATTCTCTTCTGTCTAAACAGGGCAAGCATTTTTAAGGCCAATGCTTATTTCTGTGACCTGAATCCTAGTCCTTCCTTTTTTGGAAATCCCCAACTTTTTACCACTTTACTAAATTCTCATCAGTGTTTAAACATGCTAAAGTCTCCCATGTTAGACAAAACAAATCATTCTGTATCTCATTTCCCCTTCAGCTACCGTCCTAATTTTTCCACTTTATACTAAAAACAGTTGGATATTTCTGCCCTCTCCATCTCATTCCTCCACCCAGTCTGATTTTGACTTCTACAAGCTTTATCCTCTTGAAATGGTTCTTCCCAAGGTCATACTCACTCACCAGGTGACCTTCATGTTTCAAAACCCAGTGGTTATTTCCCAGCCCTCAACTTACTTCTCAGTAGCATCTGGTGTATTGACTCGTTTCTCAACAGTCTTCCATTAGCATCTGCAACTCCACTCACACACACTTTTACTACTACCTCTTTGACCACAGCTTGTTAGTCTCCTTTGCAGGCTCACCTCGAGCCTTTAAATCTGTTTCTCTAGGTCTTGTTCTTTCTCAGTCTATTTTTTCTAGGAGTGTTTCATCCCCACTCTGAGATTTGGTTACTGATGACTCCCAGAGCTCTCCTGTGAGATTGACATCTCCACTTAGGTTTCTCAAAAACATCCTCAACTCAACATGTTTACTCATAAACTTTCCTCCTACATCTGGAGGAATACTTTCCTCCAGTTGCAGAAGCTAGAAAGAAACTACTTGTCCCTTTGCTCAAAAGCCAAATCCTATCAGTTTACATTTCTAAATATCCATTAATTCTGTCTGCTTTTCTTCATCTTCACAATCTCCCACAAGGATTATTGCAATGACTGCTTCTTCCCATATTTACTTTTGCACCCCTCCAATCTGTTCTCCATTCATAGGCCAGAAAACACAACCTGATTTTTAAAACTTCACAATGGTTTCCCATTCTTAGGACAAAAACTGGCATTCTGTACATGATTTACAAGGCCCTGCATGATCCAGCTCTTGCCTAACTTAGTTTTATCTTGCTAATGACTCAAACAATGGACTGTCAGTACTGTTTGTTGAAGTGAGCTGAACCATACCTCTGTCTCTCACTCCCTCTCTCTTATCTAATCACACTGGCCTTTCGATTCCTCTAACCTGTCATACACTTCCATCTCAAGGCCTTTGTACCTGCTGTTTCTTGACTTGCAATGCTTTCTCTCTACCTACTAAACTACTCATCCTTGAGTGCTTAATTCAAACACCCTCCTCAAACAACTCTTTCCAAAATCCAGTTCCCATAACTCCTTGTGTTTTGAGCATGTAGCACTTCTAACAGTGGGTTGTGAGGTCAGAGTCCATGTCTATATTGTTCACCATTGCATTCTTATCACAGTGCCTGCCACATGATATTTGCTTGAAACTTACTTGTTGAATGAACATTTTCTAGTCTCCTCCCAGCTCAATCTACTATTCACATAACAAAAAGAGGACTTTTTATGAAAAGAGACAGAAGTGAATCTGTACTTAGCCTTTGCTGTTTCTCTGCCATAGTACTATCACATATATTGTTTACTCAGTCTATTATTTTTGTCCTCCACTGGAATGTAAGCTCCATAAATCAGTTTTTGTCAATGTTATCATTTTAAACACTGGTGTAACCACCTAAAATAGTGTCCATCACAGATGATGCTCAGTAAGTAGTTCTTGGGTAAATGAAGGCACGAAAGAATAGTTCCAGAGCAAAGGTCTAGAGCTTGGCTTTAGAGAAAGAAGGAGCACTGCTTATTGGTAACAAAGGAAGGAGGAATGGATGAAAGTAGATCTAAATAGTTTTTGATTCGGTTTTGGGAGATTGAGAGAGTTTCTTTAAAATTGCATGTGTGATAGTTTTATGTGTCAACTTGTGTAGGTTACAGCACCGCATTATTTAATCAAACACTAATGACAATACCTAAACACTAGTCAAACACTAAACACGAGACCGAAAACTCTAGGTATTTGCTGTGAAGGTATTTTATAGATGTTAACATCTACAATCAGTTAACTTTAATAAAAGAAATAATCCTTAATGTGGGTGGGCTTCATCTAATTAGTTGAAGTCCTTACAAGCAAAAACTGAGATTTCCCTGAGAAGAAATTCTGCCTCAAGACTAAGATGTTAACTTCTGCCCGAGTTTCTAGCATGCTGACCTACCCTACAGGTTTTGGACTTGCCAGCTCCAAACAATTGTGTGAGGAAATTCCTTAAAATAAATTTATATATATATACACACACACACACATCTGTATTCTATTAGTTTTGTTTCTCTGGAGAACCCCCCTTGATATAACATCTATTTTTTAAATAGGTGAAGTTATCAGAAAAGTAGAAGAAAATGGAAGATGAGAGAGTGTAAGAGGTTTGAAATAATCTTTGCACGGACTGGAAGGGTAAACTGACAGAAAAGAAACAATTAGATTTTTAGGCCCTGTTGAGGACTCAGTAGAGGTTACTGAACAGAATTTCCCTCTGTCCTTATCCATCTGGAAAACTTATGTTAAGGCCTTAAACTTTAAAGTCCACTGTAATTCTGTGACTCTTCTTTGTCCTTTCCACGAAGGGTTGCCCATGTCCTTATTTATGCTGTCACTGAAACCTGGTATAGCTTGTTCACCATTATGTCAACAGCACTTTGTAGAGTGCCATGAAAAACAACAAAAACACATAGCTAATACAAGTCAATTACCTCAAGTAATTGTCCACCAGGCTCTATTCTGAGCATTTTATACACTAATTCATTTAATCCTCACAACAACAATACAAGGTAGATACTAATATCTTCATTTTACCAAAAAAAAAAAAAAAATAGAACAGGTAAAATACCCCACAACTAGAAAGTAGTGAAATCAGGTGTTCAATCCAGGCAGTCTGACTCAAATCTGTCCTCTTTCTCACTTAGGAAGATTGCTATACATGTAAGCACTTGTCCCACAAATATTCTCTGATTACCTACTTATGGTGCCTAGCACAGGGGATGGGGAAAGAACAGAGAGCCACCAGAATCTGCCACCATGGAGCTTATGTTTCTAGTCAGGGGAAATGGACAGACAATATAAATATATGAGGCGGTAATAAGTGCTATGGAGAAAAATAATGCATGTTAAGAAGGATAAGGAAGGCAGGGAGAGTGTTGCTATTTTCTGTTGGGTGGTCAGAGAACTCAATAAGGTCTCTGAGCAGAGACTGGGAAGGAGGGAATAAGCTATGTGCACATCCGGATGAAAAGTGTTCACTGGAGTTGAAGACACTAGTTGTTACTCAGTATCCATTGTCCCCTTCTTTATTTACTAGAACCTCTGACTTTTATCTAGGTACATGGCCACTGAAAATAAAGATTAGATTTTGCAGCTTTCATTGAAGCTAGGTGCATCTGTGTGATTGAGTGATGTATGCATTGTCAGACTGTACCCTTTAAAGTAAGGGTATGCTTTCTCCTTTCTCTTTTTCCCCAACTCACTAGTTGGTGTGGGACCTAGCAGACATAGTGCTAAAATCTCTTGGACCTTGAAGACCGGGACCACTTTCTTGGAGAAGGCAGAACAACTAAAAGGCTGACATTTTACTCCTGGAGTAATTATACCTGGACAGTTATGTGATAGAAAAAATAAATAAACTGATCATATTTTAGTCATTGTATTTTTTGGCTCTTTCTGTTATTACTATATGTATAGTAGGAAGAATTTTAAGATGGTCTCCAGGAGTTCCCACCTTCTGTCTACATACTCCACATTATGTCTTGGACTGTGAATATAATAGATTTTACTTACGTAATTGGGGTTATTTTATACGGCATATTTACTGTAAGAAAGAGAGATTATCTGGTGGACCTCACCTGACCACATGAACTTTTTAAGAGCAGGAAGTTTTCTCTGGTTGGTTGCAGAAGAGAACATCAGAAGGATGCAAAGCATGAGAAGGGTTTGAAGGACTGTTGCTGGCTTAAAGAGAGAGAGGCCATAGAGCATGGAAGGCTGTGGCCTCTAGCACTTGAGAGTGACCCCTGGCTGATGGCCAGGGAGGAACTACAACCACAAGGAAGTGAATCCCATCAACAATAGGAATGAGCTCAGGAGAGGACTTTTCCCCAGAGCCTCCAGGCAAGAACTCAGCCTAGCCAACTCCTTGATTTCATGATTATGATACCCTGAGCAAAGAACCCAGTTAAACTATGTGGTATTTCAATCTACAGAACTATAAGATACTAAATGCATGTTGTTCTTAAGCTGCTTAGTTTGTGGTAATTTGTTACCTGCCCACAGAAAACTTGTCTGTCTCCTAACTGATACACAATTAGAAACGTATGTAGGCTCTGAGGTGGGAGCGTGCTTGGTATGATTCAGGCACAGCAGGAGTCCAGCGAATGGGAAAGAGAGTAGAGACAGAGCAATTCGTGGGCCATCAGAGAACTTTGGCTTTCACCTGAAGAAATGAGATAATAAGGCATTTGTGAGTTTTATGCAGAGGAGTGATAGGATCTGCCTATGTTTGAAAAGAGTCATTGACTGTTCTGAAAAGAGAAATTGTAGGGTCAAGCATAGAAGCATGGAGACCAGTTAGAAAGCTATGGAATAATCCAGGTGAGAGGCTTAGACTAAGGTTGTAGTGATTAAAGTGGTGAGAAGTAGTCGGATTCTGGGTATATTTTGAAGCTAGAGCCAACAGAATTTGCTGAAGGGTAAGACATGTGATGAGGGGAGGGGAGGGAGAGAGAGGAAGAGAAGTCAAAGGTGATTCCAAGGTTTTGATCTGAGCAAGTGGAAATAATGGGCTTGCCATTTACTGAGATGGGGAAGACAGTGAAAGAAGAAGGTGCCTTTGTAGGGGCAGTTAGGAGTCTGGTTTTGGACATTTTAAGTTTTTAAGTTTGAGATACGCAAGTCAGATACGCAAATGGAGACATTAAATAAGCAGTTGTATATGCAAATCTAGATTTCAGAGCCCAGGTAGGGCTCCGCTGAATTTCTATTTTCTTTTTCATTCAGTTCCACCCCTCACCTCCAATTTTGAGCTTCTTGTGGTCAAGAATTTTGTCTTACTAGGGGTTTGGGGGCTGAGATGGGGTAGGTGGATAAGTGGTGGGGAGGAGACGGGTTGTCTCAATGACAGGTCTTAGGCGCCTGGCTGTAGCTTAGCCGCTCAGTGAATGCATAAACAGGCGTAAGGATTACATCTGCCCACATGCCCTCAGGATCGCTACTTCTCCTAATCAATCATGTTTGCTGTCTGCTACAGGCAGGCTGACTCCAAATTCCCAACACGTTCAGCCTCGCCCTGACCCCTGGTCTGCCCTCGTATCCCCCCAGGACCCAGATCCCTCCCCTTTCCGGCTCTGGTGCTCTAGGCGTCGGCGCTGAGCCTCACGGGAGGGATCTGGTAACCGTTCTAACAGCTGGAAGGCACTGGAGCCGTGGATGAGTACAGACATCAGGATCTTCCCTTCGCCCAGGGAGACCGCTCTTACCACTGCCCCCTGGAAGGTCCCCTCCTCTCACTTTCCCACGCATCCCTCCTTCCCACCTCCTTCCTCTTCCTTCTCCTCCTCCTCCACCTGCCAGCCTGGCTCCGCCCCTCCTGACCAAGTGGTTCCCTTGCCCCTCCTGCTTTCTGTCCGCAGCCCCCACTTCAGCCCACCGGCAGACAGGACTGGGGCTTTGCTGGCTCTGAGAAACAACCTGTACCATCTCTTCAGAAGATCGCCAGGCTCCACTCCAGTGACGGTTGTCACTATTCCCGAGGTTCTCCGAGTGAGCTTTTTCCGTGTGTTTATCAGTTTGTTTCTACAAGTGGTCATACGTGTGTCTGCCTGTCTTTTTGCCTGTGGGTGGCTGTGAGCAGAGTGAGCCTGTGCCTAGGACCCAATTTTAAGTTCATCCATTTCTGCAACAGGCACTCCTTGATGAAACCTCATCGACAGATCTGTCTCTCTTCCCCTCCCTTGCCTCCTGTACCCATTAGGCCAGGTGAGGGAAACAGTGTCCTGGGTGGTTGGAAAGAAGTTGTACACTGGAGGGTCCCCACCTCTGTCCTGGGCGGGCTTATTACTAGAGTCTTTGGGGAGGCTGTAGGTAGGGTTGAGAGTCCCAGGAGAGGCCCTCTGCTGGTCTGGCTCTGCCCTGCAGCTCCTAAGGGCCTTCTTTCCTCCAACCCTGTTGTCCCTGACCATCCCGTGACCAGAGCCTAAGACCCCCTTCTCTTGCTCCTTTCCTGGGCTGGGCCAAGCAGGTGAGGCCCATCAGCCAGGAGCATGGAACTGGCAGTCGGAGCCAGAGCGGTGGGCAAGGTCAATTCGCCAGCAGTTGAACGCCCAGCTCTTCTTGGCCTCAGAGAGGAGAGTAGGCTCGTCTCCTGAACAGCTGTCATCTGATGCCCCTGAGTCTCGGAGGGGACGGAGGCAGATCCTGAAGGCACTGGAGCTCCTGATAGCTGAACTCCAGACTCTATTCTCAGCTGTGCTACAGGATAGAAGCCCTGAAGCTTGGCACTACCTGCATGCAGTGCTGCGTCTGCTGCCACCATATCGTGCACTGCTAGTGGGCCACCTTGATTTGCTGCCCTTCCTGGAACAACTGTACCACTGGGCACCATGGGTCCAATCCCAGCTCCAGCTGGATGTGCTAGATGCTATAGATCAGGCCTTTCCCCCAGACACCTCTTTGTTAGAGAGTGTGTCCCATGTTGACTGCTGCCTTCGGAAGCAGAGGTTCCATCATGGACCCCCACTCCCAGCATGCCCTTTTGTGCAGGCCCGGAGGGGTGGGAAGCAAGGAGAGGAGGAGTTGGCCACATGGCTGCGACCGTTGACTCTGCCTGAGCTGCAGCACAGCCTGGGTATCGTCGGTGCTGAGGTGGCTCTACAAGAGACCCAGTGGCGAGGTGGCCTTAGCCTCCTGCCCTTGGCACTGGCAACTGACATCCCTGTACAGTATGAAAGCAGTGGCACTGACTACGCAGAGGAGGAGCCTATTGGAAGAAGAAGGGCTAAGTAAGTGAGGGTCCCAGTTTGGGGCTTTGAGCAGAGGAAAGAAAGAAGCCAGTTTATGGGTGCTTCCTGGGTCATTTGGTCTAAAGCCAACTTTCTTCTGATTTTAGGGATTAGTTTAACCCCAAGCCAAGCTGGTGTGAGACTGCTCCTCTCTTCCTTTTTGACTGCAAAACAAACCTAGTGGTCTTAGTGTTAATCCCCATAGGAAAATGCAGAAATTCATGAAAATCTAAAATCAACTATGAGGAGGCCAAAGCTTCAGAAGACAGCTTTGAGTTTCCAGAGTTTCCGGAATTCTTTCTCAGATGGTACTGGAAGCCTCCTTAGTTTTTTTTCTCATTCATTCATAATCCCCGAGCCTTGCCTCCAGGATGAAATAGTGCTGGGTACTGGATGCTGGGTGTGTACAGGTCTTTCCCTCAGAATGTTCCTAGGTGAGTGTCTGAGGGCCTTCCCACTCACATTAGTGTGAGTTGAGCCAGCTGCAAGGCAGCTTAGGGTTGCCAGCACTGCCAGATGGGACTTGCATTTTGATCCTTCCAGGGTCATTGTCTTGCCTTGTCAGTGTGGGTAACCTGGCCTCTTTACTAATGATTTCCCCCCCCAAACCTGGCTCTCACTGCTTTCTTCAGAATTTCAAAATGTTAACAGAGACCACTTCTGAGAGTTCTCTAACTCTAGTCTTGGAATTCCTCCCTGTCCTCTGGGCTGATTTTCTAAGTGCTTTGCAGCCTGTCTGTGACACATTCACTCTCTGGGAAGAAGGGTAGTTTTACCTTTAATCAAATTTGACTTTGTCAGGTTTTGCTCTAAACTAATGTCTTGGTCAAGTTTTCTCTGCAGCCTTAGAGTCCTAATGGTGGACAGATAGGCAGGCTCCTGGAGGTCCTGATGGCAGATGTCCATTGCCAACAATTTATGCCTTCAATAACCCACACCAACTTCCCTTTACACTGTGCCCTGAATGTAAGTTTCCTTTCCTGGGTGAACTTAACTGAAGTGAAAATGGGCTGAGATGTTGGGAAGGGGTCAAGTTTCCCCTGCCTTCTCTTCAGACCAGGCATAAAGCTCTCAGGCCTAGCTAATGTGGCTTAATTTGCATGAAGTTTTCTAGGACTGATCTTGTAGGCATCATTCATTCAATAAGTATTATTGGATACCTTAATATATATCAGACACTGCTAGATGCTGAGGATAAAGAAGTGAACAATCCCTTCTTTTGGGTTTTACAGTTTAGTTGGGGAGATAGATGTTAAATGAGTTGATACAGGTAACATATAATTACAATTTGTACTAAACATTATAAAAATCAAGACCACTGCCTTTTCTCTGGCTGCTCCTCTGTTATGTGTATACAATTAGGGGAAAGCACATCAGAGGAGTTTGGGTTTAGGTTAGAGTTAACATATCTTGCAGGTTAGGAGGTGAATTGAAATAAGGGGAGAGTTTCAAGGAAGAGGAAGCAGTCAGTATAGTTAAATGCTACTGAGGCTAGTAAGAAAAATCTGAAAAATGTTCATTGGATTTAGCAACAAGGAAGAGTTTGGCGAGAGCCCCTCCAGTGGCGTTGTTGAGAGGGAAGCCAGGTTGTAGTGCATTCAGGAGTGGACAGGTGATGAAGTGCAAATCACATTTTACCATTCTCTCATGAAGC